TGCAAAATGTGCCTGGAGAACAGTGGGTCACAGTGGTAAATTTTTGCTCATAGTTCTGTGGTATTCTGCACATAGTTGATTATGGAGTTGCTCTCTCCAAAGAAAAGTCAAAAGAGGAACACAGAGGCAGGATCCCAGGCCAAATCACCACCTGCAGGCTAAGAAGCTGGCAACTGACCTTAGAAGATGGCAGGGCTGCCCACAGCTCTGCCTAGACAGTGAAAGGTACCTACTTGGTCACCAGATAACACATCCCACAGCAATCACTAAAGCCCAGCCTGCATCCCACAGCCAGCAGCCTGCATCCCTCAGCCAAAGCTAGAAATTCAGACAGAAGGGCATACAGCACTAATGATCCTGGAAGACAAAGACACAGTCCCTACCAGAACATAAAATGCTACAATCTGGCTCCTGACATGCAGTACAGCACTAATCTGTAGTTCTCATTAAAACACATAGTCTAATTTTTTAAAGAGCCTCAACTAATTTCTTTCTGACCTATACCTAAAATGCAGGCCATTTCCCACCAGTACTCACTCAGAGCTCTCTCTGAAAAGCTTTGATGGTGTTTCCTAAGAAACATGGGATTCCTAAGATATAAAAACATTCACTAACTAAGAAAGTAAAGATTCAGAGAAATCCAATAACTGGCGAGGTCCTGCAGCAATTCAATGGCAGAACACACTAGGACTCAGGAGTCATATCCATTTCTTTTTTCCTTAGAGTATGTTAGGCTGGAAGGTTGCTCACCCTTTCCCTAAGACATTAAGGATGCCCAAGACCGAAACCTCTCAAAGGAGAATATGCTCAGCAGGCTGTCTGCTCACAGGCTTAGCTCTGACCCTACTGCACCACCCAAGCAAAGAACTCAGATGCCAGGGAGGGGTTTGCTTTAACTTGGTGGGGGTGAGGTGGGGTGGGGATGGGAGGGTCCTATCCAAAGAAACAGTAAGATTCCATAAGACCTACCAGATCCATCTGTCCTCTCTCAAGAAACAGGGATTTTTAAACAGAAAACACAAGAAGGAAAAACGAGAGAAATGACAAAGGCCAAAGACTTCCCCTGCCCTCTAGTTCACCTATCTGTCCTATTCTCTGGAAAATATTAAAATGATTCCTGAATCCTCAGCTAGCTCAGGCCAGAGTCCAGCCTGTCTGCTTCAACACTCCCTCAGACAACATCTGCTGAGCACCTCCATGGCGCCTCCCAGGGCATGTGTCAGCATTGTGCATGACACAAAGATAACCATGGGATCCTCAGCTTCAAGGACAATGAGTTCAGTGGAGGATGAGAGTCCAGGAAAAAGTGAGCAATGTTGGAAGAAGCATAATCTCTGAGCTGTGGGAGAGGCCCAGACGGGACTGGAGATGCTAGGGAAGCTGGGGAGCATGAGGTCACTACCACTCCAGCCGCTGCTAGGCACTGAACCCCAGGTTACACCAATAGCCCCAACCAACATGGGCACTGGAAAAAACTTCCCCCTGACAAAAGCCCAGGTCAACATTTATTACTAGCAGCAGTAACAGTAATAATAGTTTAGCAGTGGTAACAATAATAATAACAGCAATAATAGTATCTTACAGTAGCAAACACTTCCTGTGTTCTAGGCATTTCTCAAATGTTATCTCATTTCATTCTTAGAACATCTCTACAGATAGAAACTACACAGTAACTACCTTTTACAGATGAAAAAGTTGAGCTTTAAAGAGATTCTTTTATTTACTCATTCAACAAATATTTTCTGTGTCAACCAGAAACCTCATACTACTGTAAAAGTGAAAATTAGACAGAAAAAGTCTTGTACCATGTGGTGCATACATTCTGGTGGGTACTTATTCAAGTAAGGAAGATGGGATTCAAATCCAGCCACTTTGACTATAGAACCTATCCAGTAGGCCACTGCTACTTTCACTTATCATTAACAATAAAACACCATACATCTCCTAGTTTAAGATGCACAGCTTTTTCCCACTTTCATGTCTGCAATTTATAATATATGTTGAAAGACATATGTGGGCTGTAGGCAGGGAAGTAAGTCATGATATAGCTCATATTACTATTCAAGTAAGGATTTAGATGAACACGGGTTATTTGATTATGAACTCAGTTGATTTTCTTACAAAAATTAACACTATCTAGAGTTGAATTTTCACTTAAATTAACATCCTAACATTACTTCAAACACATACCCAAATCCCACTATGAAACAATATTGAAAGGAAAAGCTATCGAACGTACAAGAGATCACTTATCACATGCAATATGATTAAAGGGAGTGGAAATCCAAAATCTGGAACGGACACAGAATCTTCAAAGCCTAAAGGATGAGTATTCAGATGACAAACATCTAATTGTCAGAAGTCTTTAGCTATTTAGCTTCCAGCAATACATGATCTGTCAAGGGAAAATAAAACTATGGATTTAGCCAATGAGAAATACAGACAAAAACCTACTACTCTTTGATAAGAGTAAAATTATACTGCCAGTGTAAAGGTACTAAAGGGATCAAGAGCACAAATAATACGCTTTATGAAAAGTATCACATAATCCTAAATTTATACATAATTTCTTACAACCAAACATTTCAGCAGAATTTCATTAATGTGAAAAACACCCATTTTTACTGCTAACTCTGCTTATACAGAAAAAACAACTCATATATAAGCATGTTAATTAATGAGAGCCACTAGAAACAATTTTTAAGAGTGTACATTTAAAGTCATATTTCCAAAATGATTCAGTTAACTCAAAGGCATATTTTAACATTATCAATGACAAAACTGATACCATTATTATTATCAATGGTGTCTCAAAATGGAGAATTATGGCAATTATGACAACTTCCATTTATTCAGTACCTGCCAAACACTATCTGGTATTTTACATCCATCATCTCTAATCCTCATAACAACTCAATAAAGGAGGTACTACTAGACTGCCTGTTTTATATTTCAGGAAACTGAGGCTCAAAGAAACCAGTGACTTCTCAAGGTCATGCAGCCAATAAGCAGAGATCGGAACCAGGTCTGCCTCGGTTCAAAACTCCAATGGTCTACAGGTCACCAGATTGCCTCTCCCTAACAATCCACCTGATCCCAACCGCAATCCTGCCACAGCAAGCACAGATTTAAAAAAAAAAAAAAAAAAATGGGTTTAAGCTTTTAAAAAATTTTTTACAACTTTGTGTTTTTTTTTGTTTTGTTTTGTTTTCATTTTTTATGTGGTGCTGAGGATTGAACAAGTGCCTTGCACATGCTTGGCAAGGGCTCTATCACTGAGCCACAACTCTAGCCCTATAGACCCTTTCTTGAAGAAAACTTACTTATGATCTCAGAGCAGGATAGGCCAGCATGAATTCAAGGTAGCAGGGTGACAGCCAACCCAAACACTTCTGAACACTCTTTTGTTTATATGACTTCTTCTGTTTCTCAGTTTACAGTTGAGAATATGCTCAAACAGGCCCCAAATTCACCAACTGCCTCATCATTCACACAGCCAATTAACTGACTGGTTCATTCCTTCCAAATGTGCCAATTTGGAAGCAAAACCCAGAGATGACAGTAAATACACTTGAAAAGAAGCAAAGGCGTCCACTCAGTTTCTGAGGTTAAAGCAGGAAAGGAACTATGTAAGACCTGGCCAGAGCACTGTTTTCCCTGGAGGCACTGTTTCATATCAGAGATATTAGAAGCAGAGGCCTCCTCCCCATGGGAGTGTGGAGCTTGCTGTGCTAGTCACTTTCTGGGGATCCACTGGAGGGAGGAATCAGGGCCCAGAGTTGTGCTAGTCACTTTTGGGGATCCACTGGAGGTCTCGGGGACCAATAAACAACTGCTCTTCTTCTCAAACAAACCTTCCCAGCATGAAAGGTAGGGACTTGCAAATATGTCCCCATTCTCTAGACCCATGCCATTGGGCAGTTTGGTGTGATGGAAAATCTTTTTCAAGTGTTTTCCTTGAATATTATCTCAGGAAAGGACCTCAAGTTGGGATACTAACAGTGGACTAAGATGATTCAAGAAATATTTACTGAGGATGAAGAAATAAGATTAGGAACCTAATAGTTGGGTATAGGAAGTAAGATTAGCTTAGAACTAACTACAGTGAACAGAAGGACAAGGTGAGTGTTATCCTGTTATACTAGAGGAAGAAATTGATTCCAGGTACAAGGTCAAGAATAAACTCATCTGATGCTGACCAAGCACCAACTAGGTACAGTACCAGGCATTTTGTGTACAATATTATCCCATTTAATCACCTCAAAGGCTCTGAAGAATCTATTCTAATACCATTATCCTCACTTTACCAGTAAGGGAACAGAGGAAAGGCAAAGTTCCTCACTCAAGGTCACATAGCTAATTTGTAAACACTGAAGTTGTTGACCAACACGGAAGCTTCTGCTATTTTCACTGTAGCAAACTATGTCCCCTGGAGCAAAGAAGTTCTTCCTGGTAGAAGAGGAATCAGAACTAGTTTTCCTCTTTTTAACAAGGGTATGACAGCAAGGCCTGCTTCTCAAGGATATGGTTAAGGCTGAATGGACTGAAGATCATAAAGACTTCACACAGAGTTTGACAAACTACGGTGCACAGTAAATAGAAGCAGCTTTGTCATCACCACCATAACCTCTGCCATTTCTTCTTTTTTTCTTAAGGGTTTTTTTTTTTTAATAATTTTTGTTTAGTTGTAGTTGGACACAATACCTTTATTTGATTTATATATTTTTATGTGGTGCTGAGGATAAAACCCAGGGCCTCACATGTGCTAGGCGAGCGCTCTACTGCTGAGCCACAACCCCAGCCCCTACCATTTCTTCTTTAAAGGGTACAGAATATAATGATCATTAGTCAAAAACCACCACCACCCCTGTTTTAGGAGGATGAAAAAAATAGTAAGTTTTTTTTCCTGCCTCTGAATAAAAGATCTTACTGAACCACGAGTTCATCCCATGACCACCTCAAAAGTGAGGTTCCTGTTTCACCCAAAGCCCACTCCATACCTTCTCTTCTGAAGAAACGGTCAGCTTGTCACTGGATATCAAGCTGCACACCTGGTCCAGACTTAGGCTAAGAAATTCTTCCCCCAGCATCACCTCTGGAAAGTGCTGCTCTGTTCCAAAAAAAAGAAAAAGAAAAAAAGAAAAAAAAAGTACTAGTAGTAGCAGTAAAGAAAACAAAGTTACAGCACACTCCAGCTCTTCCAAGAGCCAAGGCCATGCCAAACTGTGGACTCAGGCTGGAGGATCTGGGGCCAGGGTGGAGGAAGAGGGAGAGACAAAGAGGAATCTGGCCAAAGGGAAACCGGCTTTTTAATTCAGCAGCACAGGCATCCATTGCCCTGTGTGATCCTATGTTCTGAATATCAACACAGAAAAATATGGGGCAGAGAAATCTGAGGTTATATATTTTTCATGCTCCATGAGATTAATAATGGCATTGCAGAGCCCCACTGGGACCTGCCTACATAATTGAGCTCATTTCCCCTCAAGGCAAAAACACCGTTGCCCCTTGCAGCTCAGTCAAACCCAAGTGGGTCAGAACAGCTGGTTGACTAGAAGTCTCTGAGAATTCTTGTAAGTGGTCAACATTAGGAGATCAGAAGATGGGATCATAATTTTTTGCCCAAAGTCACACCTATTATGTTAGGTTTCTGGTTCACCAGCAGTACCAAACTAACACCCAGCTATAAGATGTAAAGCTTTAAGATGGAAGAGAATTTGAGGACAATTAGAACAAGGCAATACCCACAGGTGTGAGGTCCACACAAGGAGAACTCCAGGGGCAGTTCCTACCCTGACATTTGCCTGGGCCATCATCCTGCTAGTACTGAGCATTATATTCAGGGAAATGCCACCTGCTTCAGAAAGAAGGAACCTATGTTCAAATTTTGGCCTTGCCATTTATGAGTTGTGTCCTTGGGACACAAGCATCACTTCCCTAGGCTTCACAACTGCCTTCTGTAAAATGAAAGTAACACTCCCTGTCTTGCTTCACTCCCTTGCCCCGATGAGAACAGATTTGTGTCTTACAAGCTCTTCCAAAGTGAATTCACCCAAAGATAGTTAATTTCTAGTTTGGCAAGCTCTGGGGATCACAGGATCTTTGTCATTTGTCCTAGACCTCGCTCCTTTCTCAGTTGTCTCGTAACCCTGCACCATGGAGGAACACATGCGCTCCTCGCCCTCCAAGCCTCCCACTTCTTTCTTTGCAACTCCACCCAACCTGGTAACCTCTTGGATTCTCTTCTGGGCTTCATCACCCAATTCTCACTAGAGAGCATCCCTGCTTGGTCTAGCTGGCTTCTTCTTTTTTTTTTTTTTTAATATTTTTTCAGTTGTTTATAGACCTTTATTTTATTTATTATTTATAGGTGGTATTGAGAATCGAACCCAGTGCCTCACACATGCTAGGTAAATGCTCTGCCACTGAGCTATAACCCCAGCCCTGGTCTGGCTACCCTCTTAAATGAGATTCAGGGTCCCTCCATCCCAGGGAGGCTCCTGAAAAATCAAGCCAGCTGCACTTACATAATGAAAAATAAAATCAGATCACGGGTAAGCCCCTTTCACACTCATCAACTTCTCAAAAATCAAAGAAATTAAGATGTAATTATTTCTTGCAAAAATCACTGTTAACTTTCTATATGAAAATAACTTCAGACTCTTGTGTGAATTCCCTTCATCCCAGATTCTTTTTTTTAATGTTGACAATTTGTATATTTATTATTTGTACATCTCTTTAAAAAATTATTCTAATTTGTTATGACAGCAGAACGCATTTCAATTCATATTACACATATATAGCACAACTTTTCTGGACACAACATACAGTCACACTATTCATGTCTTCATATATGTACTTAGAGTAATGATGTCATCCCAGAAATTTTAAATGTTACTAGTTTATTCTCAAAGATGGAGTTATAAACAATCTCTTTCATCTTTCACTAACAACAACAACAACAACAAAAGGCTCTCCACTTGCTCCTTGCCAGCCTAAGGATCTCTGTCAACACTATTAAAACCTGTCCATCCTGAAACTTGGGACTATGTTTGTACATAACAAGAAAAACCTAAAAGTCAGATTCTTTCTTTTCCTGGTGTTGGGGATAGAACCCAGGGCCTCATGTATGCTAGACAAGTGCTGTACCATTGAACCACACTCTCACCCTGCTTTTTATTTTATTGTATTTTGAGACAGATCTCACTAGTTGCTACGACAGACCTCCAACTTGCAATCCTCCTTCCTCAGCCTCCAAAGTCACTGGGACTACAGGTATGCCACTACACCCAACCTAAAGGTCAGATTCTTCATAAAGGGAAACAACTGCCAGCGTCAGCAGGGTAGGAAGCTGGTCTTTGCTTCTGTAAGTCAGCAGGAAAGCCTATAGCTTTGAGGTTCAGAGGAGAGTCCTGCACACTGCAGTAACCTATCTGGTCCAGAGCCACATCTGGCCTTCCCATGTTTGTGTTTGGTTGAGTAAAGAACTATCATTTGAAGAGGAAAAATAATGAAGAAAACAGGAAGAGATAAGAAAGTAAGTTCTATGCTGTGGGGAAAAAAAAAAGGTTTTTTCCTTACAAGCTCATAAAGCCCAAAGCAGATGGGCTTGGATTTTGAAAAGAAAGACAATGGATATGCAGAAATGCATATTCTAGGTGGTATGAGGAAAAAACCAGGAAGCCTCAGAGCTAAATGAAGGCAGAAAGTAATCATTTTCCACATCTTTCCATCTCTAGCTTTGTGGGCCTGACAGATTTAATCTAGGTCCCTTCTTTCCAGAGTGGACTGCTTCTTTGTTCATACAGAACCATCCCCTGAAATCCTCCCAAGATGCAGTATCTGGTAGGGAGCATGCAATAAGGGGATCAATGTCAGTAGCCTCTCATCCGAGGTTGGTGCCCATGAACCCAGGAATTTGCAGAGCATGAGCAGGAAGCGACCAAGAAAGGGATCAAAGCAGTAATCTCACTGCTCTTAGAGCCTGTGAGATCTGCTAGGAAGAGGGCATGTACAAGGCAAATGCATCTGGAGGGCCTCCATGCAAGGCCACTTTTATTGGCCATGAGCAGAGTTTCTGGAACCAAAGTGAGCAGATAGCTGTTCCTAAAACTGAAGATGTTTATGCCCAAGATGAAACATTCTACTTGGACAAGGGATGAAGCTATGTATACAAAGCAAAGAACAACACGTGACTCCTGGAGGGAAACTGACCAAAACCAGAGTAATCCAGGGAAAAGTAACTGGTGCCCATGGAAATGACCACTGGCATCACTTGTGCCAAAATTGGAAGAAACCTTCCTGTAAAGGTCACAGAATATATGTAATGCTATACCACTCAAAGATTAAAACTAATTAAAATTAAATAAGTAAAGGTGGATTGAAAAGGAAAGATGGAAATAAGGAGAGGGAGGAAAACACCATCTTCTTTTCTCTTTTAAGTCTAAAGAGTCAAGGTGGAGCCCCTAAATTTTTGGCCAGAGTCCCCTTTCTGTTAGCAACACTTAAGAAACAACAGAGTCAGGCACACACCTATAATCCCAGCTACTTGGGAAGCTGAGGCAGGAGGATTGCAAGTTCAGGGCCAGCCTGGGCCACTGAGTAAGACACTGTCTCACTAAATAAATAGACAGACAGACAGACAGATAGATAGATAAATAGGGCTGGGAATATAGCTCAGTGGCAGAAGACTTGCCTAGCATATATGAGTCCTTGGGTCTGATCTTGAGTGGAGGGGGGTGGGACGCGGAGGAGAGATGGGAAAGAGGGGAGAGAGGAAAGAGAGAGAGAGTCACAGACACACACACACACACACACACACACACAGGACTGCCCTTGATTTTCTGGGAAGAGGATTCTGGTAGAAGATTATTACTCAGCTCTCTTAACAGCTGCTTCCCAGGAAGTATTTACTCTGCTTCCAAAAGATACTTCCCTGAGAGTCGCCATCTACTTTTAACAATTACTTGGTTTTTTGTTCATTTTGCTTTGCCTTGATTGTACTAATGGAGAACATGATGAAGAGCTTTGGCTAAGAGAAAAGCTGGCTAAGTGATCTCCTATGGTCACTTCTTTCCACACCTTGTCTTCTTCATTCATAAAATGGAAGAACACATGACCTATGTCTTGAGATTGTTCACTTGAAGGTCAAAGATGAGACTTATTAGTCTACTTTGGAATCTTTAAGAAGCTCTTAAGATTGGAATTGCATTTGACCTATATAGTGCTTTTGGAAGTATGGTCATTTTGACAATATTAATTCTGCCTAAGAGCAAGGTAGATCTTTCCATCTTCTAAGGTCTTCTTTAATTTCTTTCTTTAGCAATCTGTAGTTTTCATTGTAGAGGTCTTTCACCTCTTTCATTAAGTTGATTCCCAAGTATTTTATTTTATTTTTTGAGGCTATTGTAAATAAGGTAGTTTTCCTTATTTCCCTTTCAGAGGATTTGTCACTGATATACAGAAATGCCTTTGATTTATGGGTGTTGATTTTATATCCTGCTACTTTACTGAATTCATTTACTAGTTCTAGAAGTTTTCTGGTGGAATTTTTTTGGGCCTTCTAGGTATAGAATCATATTGTCAGCAAACAGTGCTAATTTGAGTTCTTCTTTTCCTATACGTATCCCTTTAATTTCTTTTGTTTAATTTCTCTGGCCAGTATTTCAAGAATTATGTTAAACAGAAGAGGTGAAAGAGGGCATCCCTGTCTTGTTCCAATTTTTAGAGGGAATGCTTTCAGGTTTTCTCCATATAGAATTATGTTGGCCTGGGGCTTAGCATAGACAGCCTTTATGATGTTGAGATATGTTCCTGTTATCCCTAGTTTTTCTAGTGTTTTGAACATGAAAGAGTGCTGTATTTTTTCAAGTGCTTTTTCTGCATCTATTGAGATGATCACATTTCTTATCTATTGAGATGATGAATTATATTTATTTATTTCCATATGTTGAGCCATCCCTGGGATAAAACCCACTTAATCGTGGTACACTATCTTTTTGATATATTTTTGTACTTGATTTGCCAGAATTTTATTGAGAATTTTTGCATCTATGTTCATTAGAGATATGGTCTGAAGTTTTCTTTCTTTGATGTGTCTTTGCCTGATTT